GTAACGGACACCTGCTGTAGGCTGGGATCATCGCACTGAATTACAACTGTGTTAAGAGGAAACATCTGTCCCTGCATCTTCAAAAATTCAGCTGCAATTTATGTACTATCAAATGTATATACTTTGGTGGCTTTTAGTATATTTAAAGTTGTGCAGGGCCAGGGATTTAGCTCAGTGGATCGCTGTGAGTTCAAATCTAGCTAGAATACGTTGTGAGACTCTCTCAAAAAAGGGGGAAAAAACCTAGAATTAGACAGCAGTGATGATTGCACAACTTTTTTGGCGGGTGGGCACTGGGGATCAAACTCCGGACCTTGTGCTTGCAAGGCAGGTGGTGGAACCACTGAGCTAAATCCCCGGCCCTTGTTTTCTTTATATTAAAAGTTTTCGAATGTGTATTTTTAGTTCTCTTGTGTATTAATCTAGGAAGGAGTGGAGTTATTGGTTGTATAACATCTCTATGTCTGGCCATTTAAGGAACTGCCAAACTGCTTTCCAGGGAATGTCTAATGTCTTACATTCTTACCCGCAGTGCCCAGGGTTTTCACATCCTTATCAACACTTTTGAGTGTCTGCCTTTGATTATGGTCTCCCTCGTGGGTGTGACACGGTGTCTCATCTTGGTTTGAAATTTCAATTCCCTGATAGTTAATGATGTCAAGTACTTTTCTTCTACTACTGAGAATTAAACCCAAGGTCTTTGCACAAAGCTACCATCTCCATTTTTTTTTTTTTTTTTAAATCTCGAGACAGAGTCTCACTAAGTTGCTAATTTGCTAAGTTGCTGTGCTCAAACTTGGACCCTCCTGTCCTCCAGAGTACTGGGATTACAGGTGTACAGTATGACATGCCTATCTGCTTTGCTGTGCTCTTTTCTCTCTCCTTTCTTTTCCCTTTCTTTCTTTCTTTCTTTCTTTCTTTCTTCTTAGGTGTTACTGGAGTTGAACCTAGAGCTTTGTGACCCTCTTGCCTCAGCTTCTTGAGTACCTGGGATTACAGGTGTGTGCTACTGATTCTGGCTCCTAACATCTTTGCATGTGCCTACTGGCCATCTGTCTGCCTTTATTTGGGAGAACTGTCTATTCTAATCCTTTGCCCGTTTTAAAATTGGATCTCTCCCCACCCCAGTACCAGGAATTGAACTCAGGACCTTGCACTTCCACTCAGGCGGGGTGGCACTGAGCTGCATCCCCAGCCCTAAATTGGATTTTCTTATTTATTTCGTTTTTGTTTGTTTTTAAAGACAGGGTTTCACTTTGTAGGTCAGGCTGGCCTTGAGCTAGTGTGCAGTCCAGGCTGGCCTGAACCTTGTGATCCACTTGCCTTAGTTTCCCGGGAGCTGGGATTGCAGTCACGTACCACCTTGTGGGACTGTCCTTTATCATTATGTCATTATGTCATTATGACGTCACCGCAGTTTCTGGAGGGGAAGCTGAGGCTCAGAAGGGGGATGTGCCCGGGTCAAGGACACTGGCTCACGAGCACACTGAGACGGGCACAACTCGACTCTCATCTCGGCCTGGGGAGGGGCACTTTCTCTCCACCTAGAGGGTCAGGCCTCCTACCTACGCCATCACAGGTCCTGGTCTCGCCCTTGAAAGAGCAGGACCCCCAATTCCAGAGGGTGGGCCCGAAAGGCTGGGGAACAGCAGTTCTGAGGAACCAAGCCCGTCCTCTTCCTCTCCAAATCACGCGGAGCTGGCTGACGTGGCTCAGAGAGAGGGGACAGCCCGGGCCCTGTGGTTGGGGATCCTATTTATACTGGCTGGGCCGTGTTGCAAGCTTTTCCTGCTGGCGAGAGGGACGTCACTGGGCACTGACCTCACCAGAAACGCTGACGCATCCTCCCTTCAAGCTCCACTCCGAGGAAGGGTGAGAGGCCGGGCCTCCTCCAGCAGCCGTGCTCTGTTTGCCTGCGCCTCCCCTGTCTGCATCCCCCGCCGACGTCCCCAGTTCCTGCAGCCTTCCAGCCGTGCCGCCTCCCGCAGACTGGTCTGGGCCGGTTCACCTCTTCCTCAAACTCCTGTGTGTGAGACTCGATCCTCTGAGTCTGCCCGTGCAAATGCATTTGGAGAGAGGGGCTTTCAAGAAGACGTGATGAAGGAGATGAGGCCTTTGGGTGGAGCCTAACCCTTGTGGCCGGCGTCCTCATCCAAAGCGACGAAGACACAAACCGCGCACAGACCGGCGATGCCCATGCAAAGACACGGGTGCCGAGGCTACCTACAAGCCAAGCAGGGAGGCCTCAGAAGGGGCCAAGCCCCCTGCCACCTCCACCTCGGACTCTGGGCCTCCAGAACTGTGAGAAAATATTGTTCCCTAAATAATAGCTCACAACAATCCTTTATTTAGCCCTGGTATCGCGTTAGGCATTATGAGCCTCTTAGAGGAGATTCATTATCAAGCTGTCGAACTTTTCAGCTTAACTGTGTTACCCTGGAAGAGGAATTGTCTTAGGCCACATATAAAATACGTATCACAGTTAATAATGGTGAGACTTCCTATCTACCGTATTTACGTTTTGTGGTGTCGGGATTGAATCCAGTGACTTCTCCCTGAACTTCAGCCATTTTTTTTTTTCTTTTTTGGTACCGGGGATCAAACTTGGGACCTTACGCTTGCGAGGCAGGCAGCGGAACCACTGAGCTACATCCCCGGCCCCATCCCTGATCCTTTTATTTATTTATTTATTTTTAACCTTACAAAAGGTCTCAACAAGTTGCTTAGTTGTCCAGACTGGGCTTGAACTCGCAACCCTCCTGCCCCAACCTCCAAGAGCTGGAAGTACGGGAACATACCACACTTAGCTTTTTTTTTTCTTTTTGGAGTCAGTCTCGCTATGTAATTCAGGCTGGCCTTGAATGCACTATGTAGCCAAGGCTGGCCTCAAACACATGGCCATCCTCCTGCCTCAGCCTCCGAGTTCTGGGATTACAGGTGTGTGCCACCACGCCCAGCCTCACTTCTAGCCACGTTCAAGTATTTGATGATTATAACATTTAAAAACAGATCATAAGTGGTGTGAAGGTAACACACTGGACAAGTTTATGCGAATACTACACCGTTTTATGTGCCAGAGAAGTATCTAAGGGGCAGGGCTGAACCCATCCCTCGTGCATGTCCCGGAGCAACTGTGACTGTTGTTCCAGCTTAGGCAGATGAATGTGCTGGCCTTTGTGGGTGCTGGTTCTGCCCCCCGCCAGCACTCTGATTAGCCCTATGCTAAGAATGTGGTCCTTCGAATTAGACTGCGTCAGCCTGAGCGCCGTCTTCATTGCTGTGCAGCTTGAGAAGGGCAAATTCCCCTCTCTGTGCCTCTGAGGCCTTCTGAACCCTGAAGACAACCAGCCAGACTAGGGGAGGACAGAACACGGTGAAGGCTTGGGACAGTCCCCAAGGCTTGGGGCGGTCTGGCAGCAGCAGCCAGCTCTGGCTGGACCCGGCTCTCCTGCCCTGAGCCAGCCCCTGCACGTCTGGGGGGCTTCACCGCCCCAGCAAAGAGTCACGGCATCTCTCTCCCAGGCCACTGTAAGAGGAGATCAGGGATGTGAAGTGGAGAAGGGATCCCCGGTCCGCCAGAGCCCCAGAAAACAGCTTTGCGGGGGTGAGCAGAGATGGGGAATTCAGGGGAAGTGGCCGGGAGGGTGGCGGAGGTGTGGTACTGGGTTTCTGCTGCAGCGCCAGGCTGGATGTGTGGAAGACCGGGTGTGCGGCAGCCTCCTGGGCCCGGAGCTGCCCTGGGTTTGCTCCTGTGAGCTCCTCAGCGCCTGGGAGTGGCTGGGCCGCAGTGTGTGCGAGGGGAGGGCCGGTCTGCAGAGGTGCAGAGCAGTGGGAACTGGCTGCTTCTGAGCTTCTTGTGGGCTCTGCAGGCTCAGGGCTCCCCCAGTCGCAGCAGCTTGGGCCCCTGGAAGCCTCCAGCCTTCTGGGCGCCACCGTCCCGCGGGGCTCCTCTTCCGGTTCCCCACACCTCCTTGGCCGCTTGTCCCCTTGCCTCAGCTTACCCTAGTCATCGGCAGGGTGATAGGGAGGCACCGCCTCCAAGGCTTCTTCTGACGCCTTAGGCTTTGAGAAGGGAGGACCAGCCCACGACTGCTATCTTTCAGAGAAAGTGAAACCTCGATGCCTAACCGCCCCTGCAGCGGCTCCCTCCCAGGGTTCCCTCTGAGCTCACAGCTTCCCCATCTCCCCGTCCCACCCTCGATAGCTACTACTTGGAATTAGAGTTTCGTCTTATCTTTTCCCTTCCGAGGGCTTTTACCTTTTATGTCCATGATGGCACCGGCCCTATCAGGTGGCCTAGGAAATGCTTTTCTCTTCCAATTTTTTTTTTTTTAAACAGGTGGGGTTTCTGAGGCCCAGAGAGGTTAAGTGACTTGGCTCAGGCCACACAGCATGTCAGAAGGCCTGTGAACGCTGTCTCAGGCTTCTTTTGTTCATGTGCTCAGCTCTCCCCACAGGGCCCTGCCTGCAGAGAAGCCAGTGGGCCTGAGATGGCCCTGAGGGCAGCCGACGGGGGAATGGAGACAGCGCAGTCTGGCTGGGGGATGCTAGAACCACAGTCTCGGGGCTGCCAGCCTGGGCCTCGCTTTGGCTCTGTGCCCAGGGCCCGGTGGTTTCCGCTCACAGATGTCCCAACAGCCCCAGCGAGAGGGCGGGAAGGGCACTCAACAAGGAAGATGTCTTGCTCCCCTCGGCCCTAAGCCTCACTGGTGTCCTGCGGGGCCAAAGGCTCCTGGGCCATGACTGCCTGGGGGCCTCCGGAGGCCTGGTTTATGATCCCTGGCTCCTGCCTGAGGAACGGTGCCCCTGAAGATGACACGGACCCGCTGCTCCCCACTCACCCCAAGAAGCCTCAGCCTGCGGTTTGCATCACGCTTGGGCGTGGGGCTGACCTCGAAGAACGAATTCGAAGAAAACAGGAGGAGGAGCAGGCATGCCCATTGGCCGCCCGTGGAAACTTTGGTTTTTGGGGTCATGTTCCCAGAAGGCCTGCCCTCCCCCCCCTCCCCACCCACCTCACGAGGTGTTGGCCAATCGCCCCAGCGGGCATAAAGTGGCTGCCAGTCTGCAGGACTCCCAGCTTGGAGGTATCACCCCGGGCAGGCACAGGCCAGCGTGCAGGCGCCCAGCATGCGGGCACAACTCACACGGAGGACGCTGTTCAGTAAGTACCTCCTCTGAACCAGCACCCTTCTGCTACACCCAGGGCACCCGTGGGGAGCAGGGCACCCTGCCCCCCAGGACCTGGGTCAGCCGGGCACCAGGCGGAAGGGTCCTCGGGAAAGGAGAGAGCCAGGATCAGGGAGGGGAAGGCTCCGCTGAGAGCCCAGCATCCCCACAGGTGCAGACAGGGTCTACCCAGAAGGTGTCCGGGAAGGGGAAATAAGACAACTCTGCGAATACTGGGGCGAGGAAGAGGCCGGCGAGCAGGAGGCAGGTGGAGGATGTGCGGGGCAGGGCGGGGCAGGAAGTTGCCCAGCCTGGGATGGAAGTGGGCCAATGTGTGGGCAGACAGGGTCTCCTTCTTGCCCCAATTTATTTGTTAGTTTTATTTGTTTGTTGGTTGGTTTGGTTTTCTGAGACAGGGTCTCACTCTGTAGTTGAGGCTGACCTGGAGCTCACTGTGTAGTCCAGGCTGGTCTTGAACTCACAGGGATCCTCCTGCCTCAGCCTCCCGAGTGCTGGGATGACAGGCGTGCGCCACCACGCCTGGCCTTCTTGCCCCAATTTATTTGTTAGTTTTATTTGTTTGTTGGTTGGTTTGGTTTTCTGAGACAGGGTCTCACTCTGTAGTTGAGGCTGACCTGGAGCTCACTGTGTAGTCCAGGCTGGTCTTGAACTCACAGGGATCCTCCTGCCTCAGCCTCCCGAGTGCTGGGATGACAGGCGTGCGCCACCACGCCTGGCCTTCTTGCCCCAATTTGATTCTCAGGGTCCGGGGCAGATAGAAAGTCAGCCAGGCCTAGGGGCTGTGGAGCCCACACAATCACACATAGCCACACCCACATGGTGACAGGCACGCAGAGCCCCATGACATCATCCACAGCCCTCATTCTGACCAACCTGGGAAGCCTCACCTGGAATCAGGCCGCACCAGGTGATCAAGCCAGGGGCCCCCCGAGGCTCCTGTGAGTCGGGTCACACATCTCTGCCGACTCTTGGTCCCATGTAACAGCTGCTGGACACATGCTGCAGGTCCCCCTCCCGGATCCCGACCAGAGTCCCCTGGGGAAGTAGCAAGGGTGCCTTGTGGTTGGCACCCCTGGGCGCCCTGCCCCTTAGCCCTTCCCAGCAGCTGGTCCACCCCAAGGGGCTGCGCGGTTTGTAGGAAGGGAAGGATGGTGTCACTGCCTTCCGGGCCATTGCGCCACAGGCCCTTCTGACCACGTGGCTGCTGGTGTCTGTGGGGGTGAGGGGCAGTGAGCCACGACTGCACTGTCCCCCTGAAACCTTCCCACAGGCTCGTGGCATCGCCGGTGGCCTTGAGAGAAGGGGCCACTTAAAGACACAGGAGCCAGGCTGGAATGGGGAGGGCTGGCTTCTTGTGACTCAGGCAAGCCGTTCCCCTGCGACTTGGTTTACCCGTCAGCAAAATGGGCCATGTACCGGCTGGGCTCCCTGTCCTTGCCATACTGAGCCTTTGGGAAGAAAGGCGACCCTCTTGGCTTTTTCTGGCTCGGCGCACAGAGCTTAGAGCGCCCCACTGCTCTGGGCTGCTGCCCCAAAGCCCCCTCCAGTGCACTACCTGGGGGGCTAGGTCTGTTACAGGGGCTCTAGGTAGCCGAAGTCCCGGGACCACGGCTGGCCCTCAGCCCAGAGGCCTTGCAAATAATCCCTTCCCTTGGGCCACCTGCTGTCAGCGCCTGAGGTTGGGCCTGGGAAATGGGCGAGACTGCGGCCTGGGTGGTCACGTGTGGCAGCAGCCTCCTCTCCAAAGCCTGAGCATTAAATTATAGCCGTTGGGCCCTGGGCGGTGACTCCCTGGGAGGCTCCCTGCCCTGTGTCCAGCCCCTGCCCCGGACTGCCACCAGGCCCGAAGGCCCTCTCAAGCCCCTCCCCAAGCCTCCCGCCTGTTGCTTCTTCACCGAGCCAGTCCTTCTCTGCCCCAGGTCTGGTCCTTGGACTCCTGCTCCTGAGCCCAGCAGCAGAGGCGGCAGCGGCCACGTGCAGATGCTCCACCTCTTACGGGCAGCTCCTCGGCCAGCTCCGGAGCCAGGCGGACCTGATGAAGGACACCAGCCGCCTCCTGGACCCCTTTGTGAGTGCGGGGCCCCTTGTGGCATCCTGAGCCTCAGAGAATGGCAGGGGGTTTAGCACAGGAAGGGTCAGGCCCAGGACAGTGATATGGAGAGACTGAGCCCCCATCTTATTCCAGCCCTAATCCTGAGAAGCTGAGGGACAGCGCAGGGTCCCCGGCTCCCAAGTAAGTCCCTCCCTCATCCACCTGCTTGTCTGGCTTGCTTACTGGCCCCTTTCCTGGGCCCTGTGTTAGGCACCGATGTGTGCACCAGCGAGCCGAGTCCAGCCCTCTCGCAGCCTCTCCCCGCTGATGCATCCCCATGCCGGTCACTGCCCATGTAGTCACCGCGCAGGCCCCTGACGCCACCCCGCCTTCGTGATCTTAGAGCTCTCATCTCTCAGGCCTCAGTTTCCGAATCTGTCGGATGGGAAAGGGCACACAGGGATGTGTCAATGTATGATTTCAAAGGCAGCCAGGGCGGGCTCATCTGTGTGCGTGGTTGTGGGTGGGGGCTCCGAAATGCACCGCCTAATTCCCCTGTCTCCCCAGATCCGCTCCCAAGGCCTGGACACACCTGTCTTGAGAGGCTCCTGCAAGGAATGCTCTAGGGCCTTCCCCAGTGAGGATGCCCTGCGGAGGCTGAGCAGGCAAGGTTTCCTGCGGACTGTCAGTGCCACCCTGAACGATGTCCTGCAGAGACTGGCCGCTTTGCAGCAGCATCTCTTGAAGGGCAAGAACGTGCCCGAGATGCAGGTGGCCACGCGGAACATCCAGGGCGTCAGGAACAACATCTACTGCATGTTGGAGCTACTCACTAACTGCTCGGAGACGCCAGAGCCCCTGCTGCCTGGCACAGCGGCCACACTGACGCCCCCTACCCCCAGCTTCTGGTTCAGGCTGGAGGGCTGCCAGTTCCTGTGCGGCTACCACAGCTTCATGGGCTCTGTGGGGCAGGTCTTTGGGGAGTGGGGGGACAGTCTGAGTGGAAACCGGACACACAGCCCCCGCCGCCGGGCCCTGTATAAGGGGGCCCGCAGGGCCAGGCCCTCCAGAAGGGTCAAGAGACCTGTGCCCAGGGGGCAGCTGTTCCGGTAGCTCAAGCAGCAACCCCTGCAGGTGCTCGCTCTACAGACGTGAGAAGCCAGCAGGCGCTCTCCGGATGTGAAGATCTGTGAAAGACGCTGCGTTCCCTCCCGGTTTTCCAGATCTGCGCCCTCACCACTCAGAAGTGCACTTTAAAAAAGTGGAGGTGCTCGGGCCCTTTCTACCTCTGCTGGGCTAAGGGGAGAGTCAGGCTGCAGGGCTCCCAGCCCGAGTTTCCCAGTCCTGGTGGGGCGGCCAGGTCAGGCCATGCAGGGCCGACTTTCCATTGATTCAGGGGTCTGATGACACAAGCTGACTCACGGCCGGCCGACTGCCCCCTCAGACTCCCTGGAGGCCCTTCCCTCTCATGACTTGCGGGGCTCTTGCCCCCAGACTTCCTCCTTTCTGGTGGCAGGGTTCCAAGGGGAGGTCAGGGCCTGAGCTGGCCTCCTACGCCTCATCGCCGCTCAGGCCGGACACCTGGACATCTGAGTGATCTCACTTCAGGCAGCGACGGCAGGGCTCTGCGGGTCTCTGCTCGGCTCTGTCCCTTATTCACTAAGTGACCTCAGGCAGAGCACTTTACCTCTCAGGACCCAGTTTTCTCTCTGGGAAGCCAGGAATTTGGACACTGTGTGAAGGCTCCCTCTGCCTGGCAGTTTCTGGGACTCTGTGATATAAGATGGACAGCAAATTCTCTGAAAATCAGGACGTACGCTGCAAATAGGAGACCTCTCAGCTCCGGACGCGCCAGTCTCGATTACGCACATCTGGCTGCTCCCTCTGGTGGCGGATTGTGGAATTTTCTCACGTTGAAACCGCGGCCTCGGAAGAGGGTCCCAGAAGCCCCTGGGCTGATTCGTTGTATGGTGTGACTAATTTATTGATTTTTTTTTATCAGTTTTTAATCAGTTTCATATTTATAAGGCTTATTTATGATCTCTATTTAATGTTAATAATATTGTGCTAACATATTTAAAACTTGCCTGGTTTCTAAAGCTCCTGTCTCTGTTGCCTTGTGGGAGAGAATTTCGGGGGTCTGAGAAGGGGCCTCTAGGTGGCAAGACCGAGAGAGTTTACGCCTGGGGGTGGGCTGGATGCCCATACTCTGTCCAGAAAGGGAAGTCACATGACCCAGCCAGCTGGGGGCTCTGGCCTTGGGGACAGTTTATATTAGTTTATTTATTTACTCTTTCTAGTACCGGGGATCGAACCAAGGGACATTTTACCACTGAGCTGCATGCCTAGCTCTTTTCCTTTTGAAACACGGTCTGGCTAAGTTGCTTAGGGCTGGCCCGGGATGTGTAGTCTTCCTGATTCAACCTTGGGATTACAGGCGTGTGCCGCCATTCCTGGCTAGTTCTATTTTTCTTATGGCTGCACGGGTCTCCCTTAAGATGTCGGGGATGAGGGGTGTGGGGTAGGAGAGCAAGAGAAGTTGGAGGAAGGCTTGCATTTGTGAGTTGCCAGGGGTGTGTGGCTGGGGTGCGTGTGCTGAGTGCAGTGATGCGTGCCAGTGTGTGTCCTGTCTTTTGTTCACCTCATCTTGAGGCCTGGATGTTGGTATGTGGATGAATACTTTTGTGTATGTGCTCGCGTGTGTGGGTAGACACATCTGTGTGCATCTGTGCAAATGCAAGCACACACTTGTGCCAATATGTCACCACCTCTGTATATGTTCATGGATCTCCCAGAGGGGCACAGACGCTTCCTAGCCTGGAGCACAGGAGGAGCTGTATTTGTGGATGAACAGCCAGCCAGCCGACAACTCCCCTGCCCAACATGAGGCACACAAACTCAGGAAGGAGTGGCTGTGTGCACAGGGCCATAGCACAGGGCGGGCGGAAGCACAGCATGAGCCAGACAGACCTGGCTGGGCTCAGAGTCTCCCCTCGCTCCTCTCCCACCTGCCTGGGTCACCCTGGGGGAATGGATGTAGCTCAGCACCTGTTCCTTCACCTCCAAAAAGATAGGATCGGAGTCGATCCTGCCTCAGACAGAGCCCGTGACTTGGTGTGTGCTTAAAACTGCTCCGAGAGACTCCAAGCGTTTAGGGTTTCCGTCTGATGCTGGAGCCCCTCCTCAGAGAGACCAGTGACGCAGGAAGGCTGCGGCTACAGGGTTAGGACAGCAGATGCAGGTGGACTCGGGGTTTAATATGTCCATGCTTTAGGCATGGAACAAATTCTGTGCTTCTTTTCACTGTTACGAAAAACCAAAACAGAAAGGATGAGGGACGGGATACGGCTCAGTGGTAGAATGCTTCCCTAAAATGTGCAATGGCTTGACCTTGACCTGGATTAGTTCCTGGCCACCCCCACTTCCTGGAATTAGGAGTCAAGTCTTGCATCAGGGGTGGAGGATGCTGCATCAGGTACGGTCTACTTTGCAGGTGAAAACATCAAGGCTCAGAGGATCTGATCAGCCTGCCCAGGTCCTCAGAACAAAGTACCTGGGGTGGGCACAGTTTGAGTTCAGGCCTGCCGGACACCCAGGTGGGAGCGTCTCGCTGGTCTCCCCCCCGAATCCGCCTCTGCAACTTGGCTGACAATTGCAAGAGTCTCTAAAGACACTGAGCTCCGGGGCAAGGGGCAGACAGGCAATACACGAGCAAAAGAAGCAACAGGAGCATCCGAGATTGCGTGAGTCTGACAAAAATAAAGCGGGGTGATGTAACACAGAGAGCAAGAATGGAGCCATGTGGGTGGTCAGGGCTGTGTCTGGAGAGATGACGTTCGCCCCGTGGTCTGGGTGATACGCAGAAGGGTGGATCGGACGGCTGGGGCAAAGGCTCCCAGAGTATACGGACTGAGGGCATCATGATTTATCAACAAGGCCCAGAGAGGGGCGATATTCGGTCCAAGGCTACAAAGCATTAGTGTAAGGTTGGGGTAGAACTCTGGCCCCCAGATTTTCAACTAGCAGTGATTGTGGGAAGCCGCCCAATACACCACAGGCGCTTCACCGAGCACTGGTGAAGGCCCTCTACTGCCCCCCACTGGGCATCCATTTCCCCCTTCCTCCCCCTCCCAGAAAGCCTCCACCTATGCTGTTTCCTCTGTCAAACATGCAGTTCCTCGTCTTCTTTGTTTTCCTGGTCGTGACAAACCGTCCCCCACTAGCTGTCAGCTCGGAGGTGCATTCCGAGCAACTCTTCCTCCTGCCCGTGGTCTGAGTCCAGCAGCTCGGTTGCACTCACCCTGCGGTGCTTGCATTTCTGACTGCCGGGCATGGAGCCACCTTCCTCTGGCTCCATTTGGCCCTGGCGCCCAGCAGTGCCTGGCACACAGTAGGAGCTCAGTGAGGAGCCGTGCAGGCCAAAGGAGAAGAGAGAGGCAAGTGTGTCAACAGGGAAAACTGAGGCACTGTGTGCACCAGGGAGCCGACCCTACAGGTGCCAGCCCGATGCCCTGGCTTTCCCCAGCTCCGAGTCTTTCCGGCAGCAGGGGGCTGAACCCACTCACAGTTGACCCATCTCAGCAAGGGAGAAGGGAAGCTATGGGGGGAGGGGTGGAACGGAGCCACCCCTGCGGTGCGCACCGAGGTTGCCCTTGGAGAGAGCAGAGATTATCTGCAGAGGAAGCCCAGGCTGGCTTCCCCCATCCCAGGAGCGGCATCTGAGCTGGCTGTGAACTGCAGCAGCACCCGTCCACAGGAAGCAGACAAGGGCGCTCTGTTCTCTGGGGAGGGGCTTTAGGAGCCCCATCTCTGCGGACTTGGCGGACTTGTCATCTCCGTGGCGCGTCCTGCTGAGCCACAGCTGCAGGTGTCCCACCCCACCCACCCCAGGATGATCACCTCCCGCTTTCCTGGCCCCAGGAGGATCTGAAGTTTGAAGCCAAACTCACCATCCTCGAGCAAGTCCTCCACCCCTACCCCAAGGGTCCAGAATCTCAGGCTGCCCTCTTGTTCCCCGCTGGCCTCTCCTCTGCACATGGTTCGTTAGTGTAGTGGTTTCTCTCACAGGAGCCCACAGTTCACGCCTCTTTTTCTCCCTATCATCAAGCCTACCAGGATCTGGCTCCTGGCTTAGAAATCTCACTTTTATCATGCCTCCTTCTGCTCACAAAACTTCCCTGTCCCCCTCTAGCCCTTCTGTACCTAGCTTCAATTTCAAATTCCTTGCCACAGCACTGCGGCCCACAGCTCTCGGGCCCGGGCGTCTTTGCCAGCTCATTCCTGCAAGCTCAGCTGGTCCCCAGCACAGCCCAAATCCTGTACCTCTACCACCCCTCGCCCTGTAGTTTCCTTGGTGTGGTGGGCAGCTTACAGGGGCCACTCTTGGGGTCTACATCAGCCCTGGGCAGAAGGAGGCCTCCTCCGGATCACCTCCAGCCTTTACAGTGTGAACTGATTGGGTGACTGAGTCCCCACAGCCACTTTTCACTGCTGTGAAAGGTACACGGTCAGGACTCTGAAAGCAATTGCTTTGGGCCCCAAAGTGAGCCGAGTGCCCACAAGGCACTTTCCCCTGGAAGATCTGTGCAAATAAATGTGTTCCCCTTGTGAAGGGTCAAGGTGGTCACACACGCAGAGCAGCGAGCTGGCACCAGACTCAGGAAGACAAAGGGATGGATCCTGGAGAGTTCCTGTGCCTAGACCCACTCGGAGCTGGTTTTCTTGTTTCTTTTTCAAGTTTTTTAGGTCACTGTTACAACTCTCAGTCAACACTACATGTCATACTCATGGATTAAAAGTTTCCTAGGGCCCAGGCATGGTGGCGCAGGCCTGCAATTCCAGCACTCAGGAAACTGAGGCAGGAGGATTGCAAGTTCAAGGTCAGTGTGGACAGCTTAGCCGGAGCCTGTCTCAAAATAAAAATTTAAAAAGAGGGCCAGGGATTTAGCTCTGCGGCACCGTGCCTGCCTTGCAAGTGCAAGGTTCTGAGTTTGATCCATAGTACAAAAATAAATAAATAAATAAAAATAAAAAGGGCTGGAGATGTGGAGAGGGGCTGGATTCAATCCCCGTAACACCGCGCGCACACACCATTCCCTAGGACAGAGCCTAGAGGGCAGGGACTGCAGGAAAAAGGCAGAGAATGTGTCCTGGCATTTATTGTTTATCTACAGAACAAACTTGCGGCTTGAAATGGCAGACGCAGGATGCCCGCTTGGGTCCCTTTATCCTTCCCTCCTTAGTATCCCAAGTTTTGTTTTTTTTTTCCACATTGCTAGTGACTGGGCCCAGGGCCTGAAGCATGCTAGGTAGAGCTCGACCAGCCCTGTTCCAGTCTCAACGAGCTATTTCTTTCTGAAGAAGCAAGGAATAAGAAAGTACTTTAGATTTAAGAAAAATGGATCGGCCCCCAAGCCTTAGTCTTCCCCAGTAACCCAACTGGGCCCAAGCCTCAATCTCCCTCTTTGTACCACGAAGCCTCTTTGGCCTACCTCCTGGCTATAATAAAGATGTCCCAGGAGATAACAGCCAGGATGCTGATGTTAGCATTGTTCCTAAGTAGGTATGTGAGCAATATTCCTTATTCTCATTTCCTCCCCTTCCTTACTGTTTGTTGTTGTTGTTGTTGTTGTTATAGCTCTTCTCTTTGTCCCTGTCCCCACCATAATCTCCCACCCTTCACACTAGGCCTGGGACCTGGATGTTTCCAGCGCTCCCATTCCAGCATCGAGGAGGGTTCACAGTCCATGGTCAGAGTCCCGGACTCTGAGAGGCCCGGGCACGGCCAGTCAGCACGCTGCTTCCTGGGGCGTCCCCAAGGGCTGGGCTGCCTCGGGGAGGAGCGAAGTTCTCCGGGGGAGAGAGGCTGGGCAGGTGGGGCCCTGCAGTCTGGGCTGGAGGGCAGATCAGAAGGGCCAGTTGGATCGCTTCTCGGCCTTTTGGCTAAGATCAAGTGTCGAAGGGCCAGTTGGCTCCCCAGTTTTGAGGTGGGTGCCAGGACAGGGAATGATGGTGTGAGGGCCTCCGTGTCCAAGGGGGCAACAACAGTCCTGTGACTCTTCTGGGGACAGGGACAAGGGAAGGATGGCCATGGTGCACACGGTTCTGTGGCAGGTCTGAGTCAAAGCACCTAAGGCCGACCCCAGCCGGTCATGTGGAGGGCGGCCCAGTCATCGCCTTATGCTGGCCTGGGTCACCCAGGCGGGCTGGGCGTGGCCCAGTCAGCTGTGACTCAGGCCACAGTGGCCTTGCCACGCAGCAGGGGCAGGGGCATCGGGCAGAGGGACGCCCCCTTCCCATGCCTGGACTTTCCCTCTGGGCACTCAGACGACCCTGACCTCCCCCTGGGCCGGGCACAGCCTGGGGAAGGTGTGTGTGTGTGGCAGGGGTTCTCCGGCCCTGTTGTCCCCGGCCCTCAGCTTGGGGGTGGGGTAGAAGTCGGGGGGAGCTTTGGGGCCACCGGACAGAAGCCAGGCAGGGGGGCGGGGTGAGGAGCTGACACCAGAGAAGGCTCAGCTGGAGAGGGAAGCAGAGGGGGCCTGGCCTGGAAGCCGACGGTGCACCCCTGAAGAGCTGGCGAACACCCTTCCCGACTCCAAGGGCCGAGAGCAGGCACAGAGAACACGGTAAGCTTCCCGGCTGGGAAGGACTATGGGGTGGACACCAAATTTATCCTCAGCACCGGCAAACGTCACTCACTCCCTCCTGCATCAGAGGGCATCCCGGGACCCATGCAGCTCTCTAGGCCTCAGTGTCCCCATTTGTGTAATGGCATCATAAGACATGTCCTGAGCCTCTCAGAGGATGCTGAGGCAAAACAGGAGGGACGAGTGGTGAAATTGTCACATGGAAATGTGAGGCATCAGAGGTCATGATGGATTAAAGGGCAGAGGAGAGAGCACTGGACAGGGGTTTGGAGGGAGGCCTCGGTTCAAATCTGAGCTTTGTGTGTTTACGGAATACTCACCTCTGGGAGCCTTGATTTCTGGGTTTGCAAGGGACTCTTCAGTTCCCTTTTCTCCAGAGCGGTGGAAAGTTCTCAGCCCGTGGAGGGCTTCACTTCAGCTGGAGCTGTGGATCAGAGGGTCCTGGTGCCTCCAGGAGGGGCTGCAGTGGGTCACGAAGCTCCAGGATGTGCAACCTGTCAGGTCATGTCCCCTCTGCTTTTGACCTGGGCGGGTGCAGGGCCTGACCGCTCTGTACCTCATTGGTTCTCTAAAGGGGGCCCAACTGTGGAAGGACCGGCTGCGAAGGGTGGTGGAGAAAGCGAGGAAACGTGTAAGGACTGTCCACACAGCCCTGCAGCGGATTCGGCCCCCACGCCCGGAGAAGGGTCTCATCCTCAGTCTTCCGGCAGAAGATCTCAATCGGAAGGGGTCCCAGGGGGAGGGAGACCGTCCCCGGGCCTGTTCTGGCTCTGAAGGCTGGGGCCTCCTGAGCGCTGGGGCACTGCAGGGCCGTGGCAGGTCAGCGAGGAGCCTACCAGTCCTGGCCTCACAGTGGATGCTAGTGAGTTCACCTCACTTGCTGCTTCTTGATGTCTGACCTTGAGCAGCTCATATCACCTCTCTGGGTCTCTGCCTCTCTATAAAACGAAGCGCATAATTCCCATCTGCAGGAGTTGTGTTGAGGACTGGGTGGGAAGGGGCAGCGGGGCTAGGAGAGCTGTCGCTGCCCCCCCCACCGCCCCGACCGCGCACGGTCATAGCGCCCCCTCCTGGCCGGTCCTCAGTGTCCTCGTCCCCCTCCGCCGCCAAGTGTTGGGCAGGGCAAGGCCCTGCCTCCGCCTCTACCGCGGTCAGGAACGCCGCCCCCATTCCCAGCCTCAGCCCCGCTCACTTCCTCAAATCCCCAAAGCCGGTCCTTTCCGCCCCTCCCGTCCCAGGGGAGGCACGCGCTGAGCAGGTGGGGGGGCGCTCTTGGCTGCGGCCGCTGTGTCTGCCACCCACTGGGCAGCGGGGGGCGCTGCTGCCCCTGGCTTGGAGCCACTCAGAGGCCTCAGAGCAGGGAGCCCAGTGCCCCGCTTTCCAGGGAACCTGGGAGGCCCTCTGTACGCTCACGCCAGTCAGGGCCTCCCAGAACCTTTTCTAGATCCTGCAAGGCTGATGATGTGTGTAGGACAACTGAGTCCCCAAGAGGCTTCTTTCTGGAATTCTCAGGAGCAAAGCAGGACTGCAACTCAGGAGTCCCATCTAACTGGGCGTCCAAGAGAAGCAAACCGCCCACATGCTACTGAGGATGCCTACTAACAGGCTTGGTGGCCTTGGAGAAATGACACTTTTGAAGTTGTACCAGTGAAGATGATAATATCAATAATAAAGGCAGAGCTTCAGGGACCTTCCAGGCTTCCCAGAGGGGGCGATGCCAACCTCACAGGTTGAAAGCAGCCCCCCCTCCGCTTCCAGATGCGGGACCCCAAGCCCGGGCGGTGAGGCCATCTGTGTGAGGTGGCTCAGTCTGACAGTGGTGGAGCTGGGATTGGACCTAACGTCTAGCTGCCCTCTTCTCCTCCACCGCTTCCCTTCACAGGCAGGGACACGAAGGTCAGCAGAGGCCATGACAAGTTCTGAGCTTTCTCCCAGGTGAACTGCTGGGGAAGGCGGGTGGGCTTGGGCAGCGCACGGAGGCTGAAAGCCAGTTCGCCGTCTTCCCTCCACCCCACCCTCCCTCTATGCTGTCCTCTGCTGTCAGCCTGCAGGCCAGAGTGGGGGCAGGGAGGCCTCGGGAGCTGAGGGGCTGGCAGATGCCTGCCTGGTCAGCCCACTATGACGCCGGGGCCAGGCGTGGGTTCCACCCAGAAGGGAGGAAACGGAAGTAGGGTCCAGGGGTGGGGTGGAGTGGAGGCCTGGCCAGGCAGGAGATCGGAACAGGATTGTGTTGGAGCCCTGCAGCCGATAAGCACATGAGCCGCCCGGCCAGGCAGAGGGAGGACTCCCTGGGGTGACTTGTCCCAGTGACCCCCCACGGGGCCTCTGCTGCTGTGAGCATCCCCTGCTGCCCAGACCACACCTGGACCTCCCCAGATGTGTGCCAGGGACGATGGGGCTGTGTGGGGCAGGGGCCTTTGGACGCTGGGTGATCCTGGACAACCCATTCCACTCACTGGGCCTCAGTTTTCATGTCTGACTTGAGATCATCCAGGGTCTGGGAAACACTCTGCAATGACTGGCTTTTGGGGGAGCAGGAGAGGGGCTCTTGGGGTCTCTGGGGGCTTTTGGCCTGCCTTGGGCCCCAGAAAGGATGTGAAGCTGGGCTGGAAGGCTCCTCAAGGTCTGCAGGGGAGACAGGCATCAGGGTGGGCTGCCCAGGAGGGGCCGAGGAAGTCTGGGTTCTCTTCTCTCAGCTCCCACTAGGGGTCCCCCTACCTGCTCCTGTCCTGCCCTGACTTCAGGGAGCTCGGTCTCCCGACTCTTCTCAGGGAAGAGGACCTGCCAGGTCTTATCCCCTCCACCCTCCCTACTCTTTGGGATGAAACCACTTTAGTCTTTCTACCCATTACCGTTGCCAGCCTGAGGCTCAATATCACCCTCTTCACAGCATCCTCAGAGCATTTCTTCAGGGTCCCTGGGCACTGAGGGTCGATTCGGGGAGAAGTCTCAGCTGCCTCCCTGACGTCATCTCTTGGTCCAGTCAAGGTGGCCTCAGTGAGCTTGGCTGGGGGAGGAGGAAGAGGGGCACAAAGCCCCGCCTCTGTGGCCAGCTCCAGGCTGAGTGTGTCCATGGCTGCTTCCTGTTCTGTTTATTGCCTCCTGCTCAGGAAATCATTGAGTGACACATCCCCCACCCCCAGTGAGATTATTTAATAGGAGCTGCGCTGTGGTCTCTCTTTTGGAAAATCCAGTGGGAGAAGGAAGCTGTCAGCTCGGCTCTGACATCAGCTTGTCCCTGAGCCAAGAGTCAGGGTGGCCAGGGCGAGGTGGGGGGGCCGGGTGGGGTGGGGAGGAAACGAGTTGTTGATGGCCCTGTGACGTGAGCCTGCCACATGGCTCCCGGGGGCTGCGGCTGGACAGTGAGGAGCAGGGATTTCTGGGATGCCCTTTGAAACACACAGGGACACACAGACCTGCACGTGTGTGCACCGGGTCACGCCTTCCCACCCTCTAGCCCTCGTACCTAGAGACCCACTGTTCTGCACAGACTCCCGCAGGCACGGATCTCTCTCCCTCCACCACACACCCCCCGTTTCCCTCCCTCTCTCAAACAACCACGCAGAGGACTCACAACGTCATCCAGGGTGTGTACAGCCTGGCTCTCTCCCAGTCACACACAGGCAGTGCAAACAAATATACCCACACGTGCACATACAGAGGGCTGGGCAGAGACGTGCGAAGATACACCCAGGTGCTCACTATGCACGAAAATAAAAAGTGATGTCCACCGAGACCCAGGCAGATGGACAGACAGACAGCCCCGGCCCGTAGGACTCTCAAGGGTGCTGCCGGACCTGGGCTGGGCCTCTGGGCTGCCCTGGGAAGGTGGGCTGTGGCCGCTTTCTCCTCCCACACCTACCCCGCAGTGGCGGCAGAGAGCTCCAGCTGAGGAGCGAGGAGAGGCCTGGGACTGGGTAGGGCAAGGCTGGGAGCCCAGGGGTCTGAGGCTGGGAAGGGAGGGGATGGTGAGAGGCTGGGCTTGGGGAGGCCTTTGTTGTGTCACAGGTCTGTGCCCCCCAAGCTTTACGCCGTCCCACCTCACCCTGTGGCACCTCTGGCCCATTCCTGAGTGAGAACAGGCAGCACCTGTTCACAGAAGCACCACACTGCTGAGTGACCTTGGGCAAGTCACTCAGCCTCTCTGGGCCTGGTCCGCATCACGATACCAGTGGTTCACAGTTCTGACCGTGTCTCACAGCAAGAAACATATCGCACCTTGCTACCGGAAGACGAACACACTGACACAAAAAGACACCAGGGAGAAAGGGCTTCACAGAACATTGCCTGCCTGCTCTCTGGGCGATGCCAAGTGATTTTGCCATTCCATTTCCTTTCTGAAAGTGCTGGTTCAAACTATCTAAACTGAGCTCATGATCCCCTGTGACAACATCTGCCTGTGATGATCTCAGGCTAGAGATCCAGAGGCCAGACGGAAAAGTGCTTGTAGAGTCCACATGCCACCACCTTGAGGCGCTGTGATCAAGGGAGACAGCGACTCATCCTACAGGTGGCGATGGGCTGGGCAGAGCCCAGCTGGGTGAGACCTGGCCCTATGCAGGGCTGTGGTCAGCTGTCTGCCCTGTGGATGAGCAGAGCTCTGTGGGTTGCTGCTTCTCTTGCAATTTCTATCAGAAATGAAGAAAAAAAATGCAGTCACTCTGATTCACCTCCAGGGGGGTGATTCCTGACGCAGAACCAGCCGGGAAATGTCAGGGTGATGCTGGGGGCAGCTGGCAGGAGGCCAGAGTGGCTTTGTGCTCCTGTGGCCCTGTGCTGGTCATTGGCAGCGATTGGGTGAGGTGAGGGCAGGAAGGGGCAGATTACAGGCCCAGGGTGTCTGGGCTCTGCAGGGCCACGGGGGCAGGTAGGTACTGCGACATCTCTGCCGAGGCTGAGGGGCTCCCGGTGCTCCGGGGCCCACACCAAGCCCTATGTGCTGGGAGGACCCGGAGGCCACTACCCACCTCCCCAACTCTCGGGCCACTCTACACCAACTCTACACTCTACACCTCTGCCCCAAGAGGTCGGCCTGACTTGGGATAGGGTTTGAGTCTAAAATGGCCAGCACTCGATCTGCATTTTGCAGTTAATGTCCTCAGGGTAACCCGATTTGGTGCTGTGACATCCTCATTATCAGCGATCAAATAGAGATTCAGAGAGAAGTCAGTTGCTCAGGGGCCTACAGGGGCCTAGAGAACTGGTTTGTGGTGTGAGCAGGATTTGAACCCAGGTCTGCCTGGGTATAAGACTATGCTCTTACTGACTACAGCCACCCCAGCTCTGCTCAAAGCTGCCTTGCCAACTCCAGGTATCCAGATGGCTCCACAGAATTGTAGGGTGGAGGCAGGGGCCACAGGTGGTGGTTACACCCTCATTTCTCAAATATCAAATAATGAGGTATTTTTGCCCCCCCCCCCCCCCGCCTTTGGCAGGACACCAAACTGCCAGGGTTTGCCAGGAATTTCAGAGTTTCTCCTTTCTCCTTTGGCTACCTGTCCCCAGCCTTGATCTTGGGAAACACTCTCCAGCTAACTCCTCCCCGCCCTCAGGCCCATCTGAGAACTCTGTGCTCCTTTCCCAGGTGGAAACATCTGGACCAGGGGTTAGGGTTGGTCTAGTTTTCAGAGAACTCAGATCAGAGCCCAGAGGACGGAGCGACAGGGGGCTGGCCTGGGCAGTGGGGGTTTCTCTGTATCTGGGTCATTGGTCTTGGGGAATTCCCGATGCCCAAAGAGCTGCTTACCTGCTGAGTAACGGCTGCTGACTGCCCACACAGGATGCCGGGCTGAGAGGGCAACTCCCTGCTACCCCCTGTCAGTGGCCACTGCCATGCAGCCCTCTCTTGAATGCCCTGGGGGCCCAGGAAAGAGGCAGAAGCAGGCAGGGGCTGGCCCCCACCCCCACATCCTGGGGGGGCTCCCCAGGGGGTGGCTGGTGATTCAAGCCCCTCTGAGCTGAGCTGTGTCCCCGTCCTTCTCCTTCTCGGATGGGGCCTGGGGGTGAATCAGCTCCTGGGGGCGGTGAGGTTGGGTCAGCAGCTGCCCAGCTCAGGCCTTGTGGGGGAGCACGAGGACAGCAAGCACACTGCCACCCCGACCCCACCTGGTCTTTCTGCAGTTCTCCTGAAGCTGGACCTTGGGGGGTACAGAGAAGTCCCCTCTTTTCCTCATCTTCACACTGAGCCCTGGAGTGTGCCGAAGTTTCTGTATCTGCGACATGGTGACAGGAATCCTTCCTTCCCAGGAAAATCTACACAGTCCATGCTGGGATGTAGAAGACTTGCTGGGTGCCTGGAACCACAGTGAGCCCTGGGCCCTCCTAGCAAACCCGCTGTGTAGCTACCACCCTTCCCATTTTACAGGTGAAGAGACAGGCCAGCAGCTGGCCGCTTCCCCGGAAGATACACAGCCCATAAGCAGCACAGCCAGACCTCCAACGTGGTTATAAATGAGGCCAAAGTCCGCAGTTCAAACCAGCAGCCTTCCACACCTCCTTCCCAAGAGAAATTCGGCATGGACAGCTTTTGGAAAGTATACAATGCTCTCATAAAATTCTTAGCATCTACCTTAGGTATCACCTACACAGCTGCTGCTAGGACTCCAGATAACTAGTAGACCCCCATTCGAGACCACGAAGATCGAGGAATAAGAGTCAGAGTCATGGTGACTTGAAACAAAGGCCAGCAGCAGATTGGGGCTGAAAGAGGTGGAGGGACTTCTAGACCAGCCCACCGCGCCCCCAGAGTGACGTGTTGCTGCAGTTGCTGGGAGTCTTGGAAGCCAGGGGCATGGGTTCCAGATCTGCCTCCACTGCCAACTCTGTGTGGGCTTTTTTTTTGTGGGGGCGGGTACTGGGGGTTGAACTCGGATCCTTGTGCTTGCGAGGCAGGCGGTGGAAACACTGGGCTAAATCCCCGGCCCTATGTGGCCTTGATTAAGGGTCTTTGCCTCCTGAACCTCAGTTTCCTCATGTGAAAAAGAAGCAGCTATGATGTTCTAGGAGAGACTGAGTGAAAATCAGCAGAGAAAGACAGCTGGTTGGCTACATGGGCCACAGGGCGTACGAGGGAAGCTGATCTCTCCAAGCTGCTTATTGCTTGGAGACAGCATAGCACCTCTGTCTCTGCCCGGCCTGAAGGGGTCCCCATGTGGGCCCTACTATCCCACTCACCCAGAGGATGGTCAAATCCACAGCAGGCCCAGCAGGAGCTAGACAGGCTTTGCATGAAGTCACAGCTGGAAGGGGCCAGGCCGGGCCTGCCACTCCAGGGTGGGGTCCGGGCCATGACCTTGGAAGCAGGCAGCCAATAAGGGAGGATGTCTTCAGTGAGGGAGCAGGGGGAAAACACATGTACACACACATACACACACACACACACACACACACACACACACACACACACGCGCACACACACAGCAGCAGCAGCAGCAGCAGAGAGGGAGGGAAGAAAACAAACTCCAGCTACAGCCACGTTGCAGGCTCTTCACGGACACTCGACCCTGAGAACTTGTCCGGCCGCTCCCCAGAGGCCCAGTGCAGGTGGTCCCCAGACATGGACAGGAGGGGGAGGCTGGGCCTGGGCCTGGGGTGCCGAGGAGCCCAGAGCACTTGGGGAACACGGACTAAGTCAGGTATTGTGAGAGGGGAGAACTGAGGCATGGGAGAGCGCCGGTCAGGGATGGGGTTCATGGCCCCTGGCGCCAGTCTTCTAGACCCCGTCCCCACTTCCTGTGGGGCCACGACCTGGGGTGAACCGTCACGCTGGAGTGTGGTCTGAGGAGCCACGGGGCGGGACACGGCTTGGGTGCCCTGAATGGAACACGGACTAAGTCAGGTATTGTGAGAGGGGAGAACTGAGGCATGGGAGAGCGCCGGTCAGGGATGGGGTTCATGGCCCCTGGCGCCAGTCTTCTAGACCCCGTCCCCACTTCCTGTGGGGCCACGACCTGGGGTGAACCGTCACGCTGGAGTGTGGTCTGAGGAGCCACGGGGCGGTACAAGGCTTGGAAGTGCCCTGAAAAGGATGCGGGGCTGAATCCTGGCACGAAGGGGACAGGTGCCTGCCGGGAGCACGAGAGCACCTACTGAGAGGGGGTGGGGGTGCCGAGGCAGCTCTGCTCAGATGGACTTGGCGTCTAGGGTTGAGGGAGCCTGGCTGGGGAGCCGGGTGGGACTGGAGGCTGACCCGGAGTTCATGAACTCTAAGTGGTCGGGTCAGGGGGCGCTGTGAGCTGGGCTGTGCTGGGATGTGGGGCTGCTGAGCCTGGGGCTGCACACTGACCCCAGGGCAGGGGTACAGGAAGAATAAACACCAGATGGGGCCCTCCGTGGCACCCCAAGAAAGAGACAAGGTGTTGTTGGGAGAGTGCCAGGCTGGCTCTCCTTCCTCCTGCCTGCTGGGAAGTTCCAGCTGGGATGGGCAATTTTATCACTCCACACGAGAGGCTGCGCCAGGAAGCCATGGAGGAGCCCGGCCAGGGCATGGAGGGTGTGAAGGAGGGGACAGCAGCAGCACAAGGGTCCGTCTTGGCAAGGCTGGGGGAGGAGTTGGGCAGGTCCGGGATGTGGTGAGACCTGGGAGCTGCGGGTACAGAGAATGGGTGAGAGGTGGGCAGGGCTCAGGCAAGGCTGCGAGAACTCCCTGGACTTGAAAAACCAATTCTCCACCCTGGATCTTGGGCCAGGGTCAGGCAGGAGGGTTGGAGTGGTGTCTCCAAGGTAATGAGACAGTAGTGCTATAGAGAGACCCGGAAGCTTCAGCGACAGCATGGCCACAGATGTATTCTGTCGTGTGGCCAGCATTCAGTTGCCTTATTTTTCTTTAATCTGCTTTTTATTGAGGAGGAGTCCCTCTGCTCATTTTGGCCTGGTCCCTACCGCTCCTTGCTGCCCCTCAAATATTCACCCGTTTACTTGCCCAGGGTGGACACCAGAGCTATCTCAAGGGACTCCAGGAGCACTTTTTGGAAGCCACCATCATTTTCTGAGGCCGAGCTCCAAGGGGTTTTCAAGGAGGGTCTGGGGTGCCTGCTATTTCCGTTTCCCCGGCCCTCCTTTGCCATCCCAAGAAGGCTGGGTGTGATTTTGCCAAACATCCTTCCGTCTCTGCTTCAGGTGACCCTTTTAGAAAGGTAATGCTGAGCTCCCTTTCTTGGAGCTCCTCCCCCACTGTCCTCCCCAAACAGGTCACAGCCACCCTCCCATCTTCCTAGCCCCTTCTCCGGCCCCACAGGTAGGGTTGGTCAGCAGAGCAGGTGGTACTGATGGCTGTCAGGGGCCCGACCCTCTGGGGCCCTGGGTGATGTGTCCATTCTAGAGCCCCTCTTCGCCCAGTGGCAATGGGCAGGCTGGGAAGGTCACCTCTTAGGTGGCTTCCAGTGCCCATGCTCAGCTCTGCTTTATTACTGTCTAAAGTCCAAACGAGGCTCCAGCCCCTCTTCCTGGAACTTTTTTCTCCGCCAAACCCCAGTCGACCTCCTCCCACCGACCCCTGAAGCCCCCCATCGGGGCCCACAGGCAGTAGCCTCCACCTGTCCTTCCTGTCTTGCCACTTGCCCAGGTGAGTCAGGGCTGCCTGGGCTGCCCCTGATTAGAGGGACCCCTTACTTACGGGTCAGGACCCCTTTACTGTTGGGGCTCTGACCCCACCAGGCCCATCTTCAAGCAGCGCCCCAGGCAAGCCTCTTAGGAAAACCACAGGGCTTTCGTTCTGTTGACCACTTCATTATAATTTTATCAATCAAATTCTTAGAAGAGGGAAAAAACTCTGCCCTCCCCACCCTCCTCCCTCCACTGGTCCCAACCCCCTTCACTCTCACTTTCTTCCATTCATAATTTCCTATGATGCACCTCAAGCAACTTCCTGGACGGGGATCCCGGCTAAATATAGCTGTTTCTCTGTCTTACAACACAGGCTCCAGTATATAAATCAGGCAAATTCCCCATTTGAGCATGAACCTCTGAAAACGGCCGGCATCTCAGGTCTCCTCCAAGGCCCTCTGGAGTCCAGTCCATCATGAAGGTCTTGGCAGCAGGTAAATCCAGCTGGCCCGCGCCAGCTTCCGCGTCCCTGCGGCGGGAGCGGCGGCAGCTTGGGG